CAGTGGCTGAATCAGGACGCCTGGGGCAGAGCAGCTGGGGTGCTGCCGGGTTGGTACAGTAGCGCCGAGGAGTAGGAATAAGAGATCCTCCGGAAAAGGGCTTTATTCCGGAGGATCGCGCCAGTCTAGACGCTTTTTTCCGGCTTTTCCCCAAGCCGGAAAAAAGCGGCGGACATGTTTATTTAAATCCGCGGGGGATATTTAAATCCCCCGCGGATTTCCCTATTCTGACTTACCTGCTTTGCATGACTTTTCCGGAATTTGGGGCCAGTGTAGACGTAGCCTGGGTGTATAGCTGTATAGCAGTTAAAAGTTGTTTTTCAAGCTAAACCAGACCTCCAAACTCAAAAATCAAAGTCTTAAGGCTGGTATGAGGATTTGTACTCTTGGGGCAGGGCCAGATTCAGACATGCTGAGGTCCTAAGATGTGTCAAGTTTAAGAGACCCTATGACATTACCAAAAAATGAGTATTACTCTAACAGGACAATGAAAATAGCAATAATAAAGATTTATATTTACATATATATCAGTACACAGGAAAATATGCAACTAAAAATTAGTAATTTTTTTGTATTTAGATGCTCCTCATAAACTGAGACCCTATATTGTAATTTATTTAGCTCATGCATAAAGCTGGCACTGTCTAGGTGAAAGACAAATGTCCATGAACTAACCAATAGATATACTATATATAAATGAAATAATGCTGTGATCTTCATATTTAATGAGAGCATTTAGCCACACAGTTCCCATTAATTTCAGTGACAGCTGCATGGCTAATTCCTCAAACTGGTTTTGAACAATTACAGTGTTTTATGAAGGAAGGCTCAGTAACTCCCATAACCCAAAAGAAAATAGCCAGTTCTTCTCTGTTTTCACAAAGCACACATCATTATGGGGCACTCCCATTATTTGTGTCTTATTACCTAACGTTCATAGGTCACTTTATAGAGTTCATGCTTGTCAGTCACTAAAAAGACAGAATTCCATTGCCTACTGAATTTTCAAATGTTCATTTTCCAGGTTCTAAAGGAGAGCCAGGAGATACTGGCCCTCCGGGCCTACCAGGAATTCCTGGACTTCAAGGTCCAAAGGGCTCCAAAGGAGACAAAGGTGAGCAAAAATAGGTCTTTCCAAAAGCACGTATGATTTATTTCTCATGTATTTTTTCAGTCTAATAAAGCAAAATTGTAGGAGAAGTCATTTCCAAAAGCAATCAAAATGTCTTGGTACAAATAAATACCTTGTAATTCCCAATAACTTATAGGAGTGTATTTAGAGAAAATAAAAATGGATATTCACGAAAGCCTGATCCAAAACTCATTGAAGTCAATGGGAGTCTTTTTATTTACTTCAGTGGGTTTTGGATCAGGCCCATGTGTAGTAAAGATCTTCATGAAAGTAACAGGCAGGCTTAGAAGCAGCTTTTAAACTTTAAATATCTCAGACCAAATTGATTTCACTACACAAAAGAGTAGAATTTAGTTCATTAGCCATAACTTCATAAAAAAAGCTCCCATTTATTTGAATATTCTTTGGACTACACCCATAGTGTGGTCACTCTACTATCATGTATCACTCTGAGTTTGGCTCAGAAGTTTCTTGCCCATAGAGAAAACAGGTTGAACCTCCCTAGTCTAGTTTTCTCTGGTCCGGCAATATTCATGGTTCAGCATGATTTTAGTTAGCCAGATGTCCACTTATCATGGATATGGCCAAGTTTCCTGCAGTCCCATTGGCTGTGTCTAGACTGGCAAATTTTTCTGCAAAATCAGATGATTTTGCAGAAAAACTTGTCAGCTGTCTACACTGGCCATTTGAATTTCCGCAAGAACACTGACGATCTCATGTAAGATCGTCAGTGTCCTTGTGGAAATACTATGCTGCTCCCAGTCGGGCAAAAGCCCTCTTGCGCAAATCATTTGCGCAAGAGGGCCAGTGTAAACAGAACAATACTGTTTTCCGCAAAAAAGCCCCGATCGCAAAAATGGCGATCGGGGCTTTTTTGCGGAAAATCGCGTCTAGATTGGCCACGGGCGCTTTTCGCAAAAAGTGCTTTTGTGGAAAAGCATTCTGCCAATCTAGACGTGCTTTTCCGAAAATGCTTTTAATGGAAACGTTTTCTGTTAAAAGCATTTTCACAAAATCATGCCAGTGTAGCCGTAGCCGTAGTTTATTATGTGTACGGTTCGGCAAGTTCTCTGGTTTGGCACTAACTAGGTCCCCAGAGTGCTGAACTAGAGAGGTTCAACCCGTACTTAAAAATTGTTTAAAATGTTGGATCACGTAACTAACTGTTATTTAGGGCAATGCTTCTATGTTTGCAGTTGTGTGATTTTTCAGTAGCACTAAACACTAGGCACCTGCACTTGAACAATCACTTGTCCCAGAGATGGTTGCTGTGGATGAAAGAAACTTAGAGAGTTAGGTGCAATACAAAAGAGAGGAAAAAGTCAACCATATTGAAATATTTGCAACAATCATAGGTAGCTAGGCAGGTTGTGCATCTTCTAAGCCATCCTCTGATCAAGAGGTTTGTTTGTGTGGTTATTGGTTCTACTAATCATTTGCCCCAGAAACCTGTGTTCTGATTTCAAATGAAAATGTGCTTGATGGTCATCTCAGAGTTTTCATTTTGCATGTCATTAAACTACCACACACATGACACAATTCAGCTCAATTGCCTGTTTCTATTCAAAGGGTTTAGTGTATTGAAATAGTGCATGAGGACTGAATTGTATTGACACAGCTATAAGGGGCTGCGTGCACAGCATTTCCACACATTATAATTTGCTAAAGCCAATGCAGTGAATCTGGTTTCAATATGTACTGAATGCACTTGAATATTTTTTGAGGAAAAAAAAAGATGACATTAGAGTGTGATTCAAGCAATGACCTCTGTGATGATGTCCCCTTTTAACTAATACTTTCTAGGGGTATCAAATGAAAATGACAATACCAAGTCTAGTGGTTAGCAGCATCTCTACCAGGCCATTAAATGACAGTAAATCCTTTCCCTCTCAAACATTATTGATTGTATACCGTTATTTATTTTATAGGCAGTAAGATGAACAGTGCAAGTAAGGAAGTACAACATGATGGGTAGTTTGATGTGTGTGAAGTTTTCAGTTCAGGGGTTTCAAGGAACTTTATTAGGGCTGACGTTTTAAAAGTTCATTTTTACTACAGGAGCAAGTGTGACACATGCAGACACATACACATGGCGTAAGCCCCATGCATCATAAAGAATGTTTTGCCAGAAAATATATCCATAGAAGCATATTAATGGTCCTAATGTCTTAGGAGATAAAGGAGAACATGGTGACCAAGGAACAAATGGAATTCCAGGGTATCCAGGCAAACCTGGAGAACAAGGTATGTACGGCTACACCAGAGTGTTCAGCTACATTGATCTATCTTCCCACAGATAGGTGCGAGTGTGTGTGTGTTTGTGTGTGAATGTATTCTGCAGATAAGAAAATTTATTCTTCCGCAAAAAGGAACTTTATGAGACAGAGATAAAATTCAGACCTGGCAGTGATACTTTTGGGCATATTTAAATAGTGGGAAAAGCCCCATCAGAGATTGGTGAGCTCCTCTGATACAGCCAAATGTACAGGGATGTGTGTGAAAATGGTATATAAAACTCTGTTCTCCCAGTCTCCTGCTGCTGCTGCTCTGTGCAGACCTGTTGTCCCTGTGTTGCATTAGTGGAATCTGGGAGTATGTCTACACTGTACAGTTTTTTTCCACACAGAAATCACATTCTTTTGGAAAAAAATCGAAAGAACAGAGGTTTTTTTCTGACATTGGTAAATCTCTTTCTATGAGGAAGAATCTATTTCACTAGGCATACCGGAGCGGTCGACAAAGGCTTCCCTTGTTGACTGCGGCGCGTCCAGACTGCCCCGCTATCGGTACAGCTGATCGGTACAGCGCGGCAGTCATTTTGATGTAAACGAAGTGGTGATTATTTAAGTCGCCGCTTCATTTTCCTATGTCTAGTAATCTTATCTACATGGCGCCATCGACAGAGCCACGTAGTCTAGACATACCCACAGTGACCAGCCCAAGGCTTGCAGTGTTGTGTGTTTTGGGGTATTTTTCTTTCTTGTGACTCTTTGTTTCTATCTTTTTTTTAATAGGTGAAGCTGGAGTTAAAGGAGACAAAGGAAACTCTGGCCTTCCTGGAATGAAAGGGCAGAAGGGATTGAAGGGGGACACTTGTGAGAATGGGACCAAAGGAGAAAAGGGAGATAAGGGAGATCTGGGTTTACAGGGGCAAGATGGAGAAAATGGAGACAAAGGGGAAAAGGGAGACCTGGGGGAAAAGGGGCTTTGTGGGGATCCAGGGGAGAGAGGTGAGAGGGGGGAAAAGGGAGAAGCTGGAATAAAAGGGGAAAAAGGCAGCAAAGGAGATGCTGGAGTTGAGGGTATTCCTGGGATGAATGGACAAGAGGGAGAAAAGGGTGAGCCAGGCAGTAAGGGTGAAAAGGGGGACTTGGGACCACCTGGTGTGATGGGACCTGTTGGGCCAAAGGGAAATCCTGGTAGTAAAGGGGCACGAGGAACTAGTGGAAAAAAAGGCTCCAGAGGTATCAAAGGCTCTAAGGGTGATAGCTCAAAAGCCCGAAGATCAGCTTTCAGTGCTGGCTTGTCAAAGTCTTTCCCTCCACCTAATGTCCCTATTAAATTTGATAAGATTTTGTACAATGACCAGGAAGATTATAATCCTTCGACAGGCAAGTTCAACTGCAGCATTCCTGGAGCGTATGTCTTTGCTTATCACATGACGGTCAGAGGGAGGCCTGCTCGCATCAGTATTGTGGCACAAAACAAGAAGATTGTCAAAACCCGTGAAACACTGTATGGTCAAGAAATAGATCAGGCATCTTTCCTGATTATTTTGAAATTAAATGTAGGGGATCAGGTTTGGTTGGAGGTTGCACGGGATTGGAATGGGGTCTATGTCAGTGCTGAAGATGACAGCATATTTACAGGATTTCTTTTGTATCCAGATGATATTTTTGAGACCTTAACATAAATATATGATGATAAATACATTATTAAGAAGTGAAACATTTCTTTCATTCACATTATCAGTAGGAAGAAGAGGGAGAAGGGCGAAGGAGAAAGAAATGGTCACTTTAGTGAAATAGACGTCATAATCTGTCTATACAAATATTTATATTTCTAAGAAACTGATTAATTTCAACTAAAAAGCCCCCAAAGTGCAACCATCCTCTATAGTGATACCTAATTTTTTGATTATATAAATAAATATACAAATGCATTCAGGAAAATATAGATCCCAAAGAGATTTCATTTACTCTTCAGACCCATATCAAATCATTAAAATCACAGAGAAAGTCAATATATTAGTTTAATTCAGATTAGGCCAAATCTTGTGGTAATTATGAATCAAAATATCCATGGGAGTCAGTATTGAAGTTAATTGGAATTTCAAGTTTTAGATAAAGATTGTAGGATTTGACTCAGAGATTAATTAAATACAACTTCAAGTAGTAGGTTTCTTCAAATCATGTTCATAGATTTAAATAAAGGTTTGTTGTCAAACGACTATTATGTGATGCTTTATACCTGGTAATGCATGGAATAAAAGGTTGACCTAGAGATTATAGTATAATCACTCAATCAGTGTGAATTACTCTGTTCATCAAATTATTGTTGTATATAGGAGAACTGAGTATCTTTGGAAGAGCAAAGAATAAAATAAAATGATTGCCTAATTTCATTTGTTTCCCTATACTACACAGACAAAAATACAATCATGTTCTGTTTAACAACACTGCATCTGATGAAACCAGTAGTTCAAAAGATTTAGAGAAAACGCACTTCTGTAGATGGTGTTTGGCTGACACATATCATATGATCAGAAAGCCCTATAACTCAGTGAATGTTTGAGCACGTGGAAAATTAAAAACAAAAAATTCCTTTGCTAAAGCCATCCTGAATTTAGGAAAGGAAAAATAAAAAATGAAGTACTTCTAGGATTACTTATTAGCTCCTTATTAGCTCAAGGAAGTGCTGTCCCTGAGGTTGTTCAATGCCTTCTCTCATATTAATTAATTAACATCAGTATGATATATGGAATGGTTCTGATAACTTTCTTGCTACAGAGAAAATTCTTCTCTCCTGGTTGTTGGTGCTGGAACTATCACTTCTTAGGCAATCACAATGCAACAACTACCTGCACTCACAAACAAAATTACACTTCAGATAGAATGACCAAAAAGCATCCTTGTTCTTGGGTGATAGGATACTACAAAAGCATTCAGGGAGCCATAATCTCACCGTGAAAGAGTATACTACCCCTTTAAAGGACGGCTGGAAGCTCGCAACCAAAACAGCCTGTGTGTAATTAAGGAGTCTCCCTAGTCTGGGGTTGGCCTGTATAAACAGAAAGAAAAATCTGAGGGGAGAAAGCAGATAAGAGAGGGAGGTGGTATTTATGAGTGAAGGGTTTCATATACAGATATACTAATTATATACATAGGAAAAAACCAGCAAATGGTTTGGTAGCACTTAATAGACTAACAAAACATGTAGATGGATGTTTTGTTAGTCTACAAAGTGCTACCAGACCATTTGCTCACTGTTTTTTTTCTGTAACAGACTAACTCAGCTACCCCCTGAAGCTTATATACATAGGAACCACTTTACCCATAATTAAAATATGAGGTGAAGCATGGCAACTTTTTAGCAATGTGCAGCAACCGTTTAGATCAGAAAATGCAGTGCTGTGTTGCTACTGAATAGTAGCTGACTTCCTGCACTTTTTGCTAGTACTGTAGTCAAAACGTTGGTGCACATATAATCTGGATGACACAAACCCCTCTACAGCTTATCTCAGACTCCTGGTGACTAGCTGGATGAAGGTCTAGACTTTGCTTTAATGACTGTATGTGGGAGCTTAGAACTCTGGTGCTCAGATTAGGGCCTTATGAACTTTTCAGCAGCTGATATATGGACACAAAACAAAAATCTGGAACAGAAAGTAGCACAGGAACACTTTTAGTGGTGGGGATGCTGAAAGCCAGCCCCCTTACCCAGTCTGTTCCATCCCCCACCAAGTTCAGGGTGGGCATGAGACCAGGAACAGAGCCCTGGCACCAGCAGCCTACAACTGGAGTCATGGCCACTGGGATCCCATGCATAGGGCAGTGACCACTGGGGAATGGGCACAGGCCTGGGGAATGGGCACAGGCAACACAGACCTGCACCCCTTCTTCCCATGTCTATGGGAATAGGTATCGAATTAAAGATTTGGCAAAATGATTTGATCTTCTAATGCTGTTAAACATCCAAACCAACCCATGGAAAATATTTTCCAGGGCACAAAGCAATGGATATGAAGATGGGGGGGTGATTTAAATGTTATGCGTGAAGGCTTAAACAAATCTCTAATTACTAGAATCTAGGCAGAGATCTATGTAAGGCAGTGTTTCTGAAAGTGCTTCACAAAACCACTTTGAGAAACACATTAACTGGCCACCCCGGTTTGTTTATTTACTGGCGCTGTGGCCACGGAGCCTCCGGGCTTCATTGGCTCCATTTCGTCCTTAGCAGCCAAGGGGAGCTGTGGGAAGCGGCATGGGCCAGGCCACCACTTCCCGGTGCTCTGCTTGGCTACAAAGGACAAAACAGAGCAAATGGGAGCCGCAAGGCTCTGTGGCTGCAGCGCAAGTAAATAAACAAACCGGGGCGGCCAGTTAATGTGTTTCTCAAAGTGGTTTTGCGGACTCTTTCAGAAACACTGACGTAAGGGACAGATTGTTCTGTCTGCTATAAGTTTCTTTCAACTTCCTCTGCCAGAAATAGGGCATGGAATTAGATGGAGCTTGACTCTGACTCAATATGACTATTTTAATGGTCAAACAGAAGAATTCCAGCATGGCTTCTTAGACAAAAGGGCTGCGTCTAGACTGGCAAGTTTTTCCGCAAAAGCTTGCCAGCTGTCTACACTGGTCTCTTGATTTTGCGCAAAAGCACTGATGTTCTACTGTCCGAAAACAGTGCTTCTTGCGCAAATGCTTTGATGTTCCCGTTTGGGCAAAAGCCCTTTTCCGGAAATGCTTTTGCGCAAAAGGGTCAGTGTAGACAGCTGAAAACTGTTTTGTGCAAAAAAGCCCCTATGGCAAAAATGGCGATCGGGGCTTTCTTGTGCAAAACCATGTCTAGATTGGCACGGACGCTTTTCCGCAAAAAGTGCTTTTGTGGAAAAGCGTCCATGCCAATCTAGACGCTCTTTTCTGCAAATGCTTTTAACGGAAAAACTTTTCTGTTAAAAGCATTTGCGGAAAATCATGCCAGTCTAGACATAGCCAAGCAGAAGTAAAAACTGTATTTGTATTCAACAACATAAAATCCCTAGAGGTCAACCATGACATAAGGCCCCATTCCAAAACCCATGGAATTCAATGGAAGACCTCTCACAAAGTTTATGGGCTTCAGAACAGATACTTTATGAATAATACAAACATTCACTAAAACTAACAACTTTAATTAAATTAAACAGTATTTCAAAACGTTAATTTAGCTGTACTATCTGCCCAAGGCAGGCATTTGCTGGAGCATGAAATCACATCCAACAGCATTAACACTGCCATGATGGCATTTCACCAAGAGAAAGCAACAGGCCTAATCAGTTTTCCAATAGAATTGTACACACAATGTTTCTGGCAGAGCTGTGCAACTCCACTAGTCACCTACATCCTCACAGTCCACAGTGTTCCATATACTGTACAAATATGCAAAAGAACCACTTCACCTGTAATTAAAATATGGCAACCTCTGGGGTGAAGCATGGCAATTTTTTAGCAATGCATAGCAACACACCACCACCTTTTAGATCAGAAGATAGAGATATGCAGGGTGGTGTTGCTACTGAAGATGGAATGTAGCCAGGACAACACGGGCTCTGCAGCTGGCCTTGTAGTTTTTAACAGCAGTCAAGACCTTTGTGCACATATAGTCCGAATACCTCAAAGCCCTTAATATGGAGGATACTTTCAATAGTGACTGAGAAGGTAATCTGCTACATTCTGAACCAGCAACTCTCTTTCTTATCTATGGAACAGATGACTGTCTTTTAAAAAGATGGAATGTTGCATACAGTTTTTGTTGACTCAATTTACAGTCATTTCCAGATAGATCACTTTTTTTGGCTCAAACAGTTCAACTGTGATCCTCCAAAAAGGGATATATTTCATTATTCAGAGTAGATCACTAAGTTATCTACTAAGTACTAAGTTATTTTGAATTATAACTATATTTTATATATATTTTAAAGTTGTTATTTTTCCTACAGCAGCATTTAAAGGCCTCTACCATGATAGGGATCCCTTGTGTTAGGTATTGTACAAACATATAGCGAGACAGCCCCTGTCCCTCACAATCTAAATAGACAAGACAGACAAAGGAAATAGGTACAAAGAGTTTAAGTTAATTGCCCAAGCAGACCACTGGTTGCAAAGCAAGGATCAGAACCCATATCTTCTGGGTCAGGGACTCTTATCTGCTGGGTAGTGTTCCCTCACAGATAAGGACACCAGCTGTGGTAGGTTAAAATTTTCTTGTGATATTCTATCGCACAAGATCCTGATCTAATGTTAATTGAAGATCCTGGCAGTCTTTCCATTGATTTCAAGGACTGCTAGACCAGACTTTTAGAAAATACAGTGAATTGGAGAGAGGAAGTTTTTTTTTCACACTTGGTTCTATCATTTGTCATCATGCCTTCAATATCTTCTTTAAATACTACCATAAATCATGTACAGGCAGTCCCCGGGTTACATCAATCCGACTTACATCCGATCCCTAGTTACAAATGGGGGGGGGGGCACAGCTAGTGCAGGGCGCTTCCCCCCAGCAGACCAGGGAGACGCGGAGCGGCTTTTCTCACCATGGAGGACGCGGGTCTGCTGGGGGGAACAAGACACCAGCCGAAAGGGGGCACTCCAGAGCGGAAAAATTAATTTCCTAGGGAACAGCAGGAGCAGCAGGCAGAGAGACCCATTGTGTTACAGTCCCCACCTTGCAAGTATCTTGTTAGCCTTACGTGAAATTAACAAGTCCCTTCCAGCCTGGCAGAGGTGAAGCTGAAAAATTACCCAGTGGTGTGGGTGGGCAAGAATGGGGAGGAGCAGCACAGAAGGGAAGAGGGGATAAGCCCCAACCCCACACCCTGGCTGGAGCGGAGCAGGGTAAGCCCCGAGGGGATGGGTCTGGTTGCAAAGTGGGTGAGTGGACAATGAGGACCCACCTGTGGCTAAACTCCTGTTCCCAACACAGAATTTTTCTTTAAAATTAATCCTGTGGATAAATTCTCTCACACACACTTCACAGGAAGGGATTTCCATTTTCTGCTCAGCAGAATACAACAACAGCTTTGATTGTATCAATATTTCACTGTGCTCTCCAATGACTATTGATTACACTTAATACCCATTTCACTGAACCATCTGTAGCAAATTCTATTTGGAACAGTAATATGCATTGAATAAACTTTTTTTAGTTATAAAAAACAAAGATTCTGACTATTAAATGAATAACTGGGATCTTTCAGGTACCCCAAAAGGAAGATTTGGATATAGCATGAAACACTGAAACTTATGATCAATTTTTAATTAAAATATCAACCGAAAAAACCTTCATATCAAAACAGTATGTGTTTTTCTTAGAATAAGGAAGTTGTATGAGAATCAGGGTCTTTTCCACC